TGTATATATATGTATATATATATATGTGTATATATATATATATATGTATATATATATATGTATATATATGTATATATATATATGTGTATATATATATATATGTGTGTATATATATATATATATATGTATATATATATGTATATATATATATGTGTGTATATATATATATATATATATATATATATGTATATATATATATATGTGTGTGTATTTATCTGTATATATGTGTCCTGAATTGTTGATCTAGGTGTTTTTACACCTAGATTTTTATTGAAAATATTGCTTTTAATCAATAATATGTTGAGAGTATAAATAAAATAGTTACTTATGTTCAACTCAAAATAAATTCACATTTAAAAATGGTTATGAAAAGCATCCTTTGTGAATGGCCACCTTATTGTGGTGGAGGAGCTTGTGGGTCCAAACGATCCTTGGATGATGATGATGCCTTCCGTGTCCTGTCCGACAACGGCGACCCTGGCTAACTTCTGGCATGTGCTGGTGTGCATGATCCTAGGAACAACGCTGTCGGGTTATTGCCCCTGGTAGAGTCTCCCACGGCAGATTGAGGAGTGACAGTGTGGCTTGGAGGGACGTGATTACGAGGAACTCTCTCTCTGATCTGATCTGTTCTGTTGTTGGACTTCTGTGCTAAAAGCCTTGCAGAAGAACGCATCAGAAGGATTTTCAACGCAAACCTCTGAGAGAACTTTAATTGCATCCCAGCTAAGGCAGGGGACAAAGGGTCCAAGTGGGCCGTGTTCTGCATCTCATTAATCAAGGCAGCTTCTTTGAGCTGTGGCTGCAAGGCCGTCGATGCCTCTTGAGACAGCCAACCTCGAACTTGGTGATGGACATCCCACGTGAGAGGGATGTCCATCACGCTGAAGAAGGAGCCTTATCAGGCCTCGCTGGCTGTTAGGCCTCCAGAGGCAACAGACGTATTAGCAGGTCAATTCCAATTTATTTATAAAGCACATTCAAAAACTTCAGGTGCTTAACAATAAAATCAATGGCAGTAATTAACGAAAAAATAATTTAAAAATAAAAAAGGCTGCAGCTCGCATACAACATATAACTGCTGCAAACACACTGAGGACAACAGAACAACAAAAAACAAACGTCAAACGCTTTTCTTCAGATTTTCTCCATTCTCTTATTTCTTACTT